CTTAAAAAAAAAAGATAAGTGGCCTGAGATTACTTGGAAACTAATTTTTCCAAGGTTACACAACTAGAAAGAATCACAACTCAGATTCAGGCCAAGGCCAAGGTCAGAGCAGCTCCAAGACTCATTCTCCTTCATTTACACCGTTGGGATCAGAACAAAGTGGGGAGAGGTCATGAAACCAACTTTCCTCCCTTGTATAGGAGCCAGATGTCTAGACTGATCTGTAGCTGTATGATCACATAATCACAGCCATTATTACTATTTGTCACCTTGGGAGTCACTAGGACTGTTATTAGATATGCTCACTAGTTTCCCCTGAATGTCATGAAGTCTATTTTTTTCTTTTTTAAAAAATATTTATTTATTTGAGAAGTAGAGTTACAGAGAGAGAGAGACAGAGAGAGAGACAGAGAGAGATCATCCATCTGTTGGTTCAGTCCACAAATGGTCCCAATGGCCAGAGCTGGACCAATCAGAAGCCAGGAGCCAGGAGCTTCTTCTGGGTCTTCCATGTGGGTAGCAAGGGCCCAGCATGTCTGCCACTTTCCCAGGCATATTAGCAGGGACCTGGATTGGAAGTGGAGCAGCTGGGACCAAATCAGTGCCCATATGGGATGCCAGCCCCACAGGTAGCGGCTTTACCTGCTACACCACAGCACTAGCCCCATTTGTTTCTTGACACTGGTAACAAAATGGTCACCCTGTAATGGCCCAACCCTCACCACAGCCTGATGGCATGCCCAGTACTGTCAGCCCTGTCCAGGCTTCAAGGAAGAAAGGAAGCCAGTGCATGGGACTGGTTCTTTCAGTGGATGCAGGGTTTGAGAGTAACAAGAGTTATAGGAAAGCCCCGTCCACAGATCTTTCTCAGAAACTCTGTGAAGTTGAGGAAGGCCACCAGGAACCTTGTTTATTGGAGGACCTCCTGCATCTTAGAGAAAAACGGGTAGGGGAATGTCTGGGCTGACCAGGACATGGGAGCTGACCTGCACGAGGAGGGAGAGAGGTGGGCGCAACCTCTCAGCAGAAACGAAGGCAGGGGAGGACCCACCTCTGTCTGTCCTTGGCTTTTCCACCTGGATGGTCCACCACCTCATTACGTCCCTCCTGCTGGTCTCTGTAAGGGCCGACCTCACTTAGCTGTTGTTATGTCAAGGAATCCCCCGAGATGCAACTCCATCTCTTCTCCAGCCTGACTTAACCTCTGGCATTGGTGACATAACTAGGCTCGCAGGGAAGCGGTCAGAACTAGACGCTCACAGTGAGACACAAGGGTGGCATCCGATATGAAGCTCCTGTCCTATGCTGCGAACTTGAAAGACAAGGCCATCAGGGATGAATGAGCCACAACCCCTCTCATGCACTTAGCCAATCAAAGCACAGAGGCCGAACAGACTGGTAGCTCCTGCGCACTGCAGAGAGCAGGGCCACAGGGCCACTGTAGGGGAGCAGCAGGGGGCAGCAAGGGCTCAGGAGACCAGCTTCAAGGAGGGAGCCGCAGTCCCCAGGAGCAGCTTCCAAAAACGGAGTGAGGGAGCCCTGCTGAGAAGGAGCTCATGTGCATCGCCACCCAGAATGCAGTGAGCACTTCTAAATCTGGCCACGTCTGCAAAAGCCATGAGCATCCTAAAGCCACAGCTGTGGCTGCCACAGTGAACTTCCACCTAGAGACAGCCATAGCAACCAAGCCCGGAGAGCCCGTCCGTCCGTGTCAGTCACCGTCCCTGGTGACACTTGTGCCAGCGGCCCGGGATTTCCTGTCATCCTCCCCCCACCAAAAGCCCTGTTCCATCTGAATTTTTTTCTTTTTTTTTTTTTGGAATTCAGTATGGTTTTTCAAACTAGATTAGCATTCCCAAATTGTCATTCCTTTCAATTATAAATGTAATTCTTTCAAAACTCTAAGTAAATGCCTTCTTGGATAATGCGGTGTTGAGTTTTCTTCAGATTGGCCGGCAGATCCGCCAGCCAGGGTTGCATGGGATCAGGGCTGCCACTGCAGCAACCCGGGGTCGTCCCAGAGCCCAGGAAAGGCAGGGAGAAGGGGCTCCCAGACAGCCACACACTCCCATGGGAGAGAGGGAAGGGGCATGGGCAGGGGCACTCTACACGTCCCCATTTCTTCTAATCATGCCCCGCCGCCGCCCCTCCCCCCCCCCCCCCGCCCCGTTATAAAGGAGCAGAATGCGTCTTTTAGAACCCAATCATGGTAGGCTGGCCCCGCGGCTCACTAGGCTAATCCTCCGCCTTGCGGCACCGGCACACCGGGTTCTAGTCCCGGTTGGGGTGCCGGATTCTGTCCCGGTTGCTTCCTCTGCTGTGGCCCGGGAGTGCAGTGGAGGATGGCCCAAGTGCTTGGGCCCTGCACCCCATGGGAGACCAGGATAAGTACCTGGCTCCTGCCTTCGGATCAGTGCGGTGTGCCGGCCGCAGCACCCCAGCTGCGGCGGCCATTGGAGGGTGAACCAACGACAAAGGAAGGCCTTTCTCTCTCTGTCTCTCTCTCTCACTGTCCACTCTGCCTGTCAAAAAATAAAAAGATAAAATAAAAAAAAGAACCCGATCATGGCACTTCTGTGACCTTAGGATCGAGATCCAACTCTTGATGTGGGGGCCCCACAGCCCTCTGTAAGCCAATTCATCGCATTGTGGCAGCCCGCCTCGCTCTCTGGAGCTCCAATCTGAAGACCTTACAACCTATAAACTAGATGGGGACTAAGTTCACCGCTTTGCACTTACCATTTGACAAAATTAGCTGATTACAGCTCTCTGCTGCAGCCTGGGAAAACAGTAGAAGATGGCCCATGTCCTTGGGCCCCTGCACCCACGTAGGAGACCCAGAAGAAGCTCCTGGCTTCTGGCTTCGGATCGGCACAGCTCCAGCCATCTGGGGAGTTGTGGCCATCTGGGGAGTGAACCAGTGGGTGGAAGACCTCTCTCTCTCTGCCTCTCCTTCTCTCTATGTGTAACTCTGACTTTCAAGTAAATAAATCTTTAAAAAAAAAAAATTAGCTGATCGCCCTGACACAGATCTTGCTTTTATTGGTTGGTTGAAAGACTAACTGAGGCACTATTTTGGCAACAAAGTCAGGTGGGTGCGGAGGCAAATCCCTTCCGTGTCTGCCTCCCCAGCCTTTATTTTCCCCATGGTTGGGATGGCAAAGAGAGCCAGGGACACAGGCGGGGGCCCGGTGGCAAAAGTTGCCAGCAAGGATGGCTTCCATCAAAGCCTCCTCACTGGGAGACGCGGGCACAGAAGCAGGTTCCACGGCTCCACGTGGCCTTGAGAAGGGGTGGGAACAACGTCAACAAATGAATGCAAGGAGGATCTCAAAGCACTCTGAGGGACCCCCACCAGCCCCGTTTGCAGTGAGAGGGCCGGAACCCTGTGGGCAACACTTTTGCTCTTCTGCCTGCTGGATCCCCACAGTGTCACAGGTCACAAGAGGTTTCCTGAGTCAAGGTTCACCTCCAGGTAGCCTGGCGCCTGATGGCCACAGACCCGAGTTGCGGAAGAGCTTATCTCGTCTGCTAAGACGTGGCAGTTCCGAATTTGGTTCTTGCCCTGCATGGACAGGCCCATGACCTGATTTCACTCAGGATGGAGTTTGCGTATGGCATCACCTTGCGGGCACAAGAAAGGGCTGGGAGCCAGGTGAGTCACAGTCGGTAAGGCTTAATTAAATGGAGCCCAGGGCACCGCAGGGTGAATGAGGAAGTATTTCCCAGATAACTGAGGGGAGAAAAACTGGACTGAAAGAGGTGGAGGAAATGACCTAGCAGCCCGTGTTGAGCTGAGCTCATGCAGGTGACAAGACCGGCACACTGACGCAGGTTCATTTCTTAAGTAAACGTGCCAAGCACTGCCACCTTGGGCTGCAGAACTTAAGGGCAATGTTGCCCATAAGGAAGCCAGGGTTTGCTGTATTTTCCTTTGTTCCTGTTTTATCAACATGCTGCCTGGCCTGTGCCTGGACACTCAGCCCAGCAGGTGAACCTCTGTGACAGCAAACCCCTGCCGAGGGAGCCCCGGGACGTTGCGTGATAGATTGGAGTCTTCACACAGACGCTATGAGTTTTGCTCTTCACTCTAAGCTCGCTCTCTACCCAGGAGTAGGGGGTTTAATGTCAACACAGGACTTTTATATTTTTTACCTTGAGCTCCTACGTCTCCTAAGGAATTCTGCTATTCCAAAAAGTGTACTTTGAATGTTGCTACTTTCTTAGAGCCCATGTTGATTATCCACGGCTATCAGATATCAGTCACTCAGTCTCAAAGCTTAATTTGGCAAAAATAAATAGCAGTCCATTTCAGGGAGGGAGGTAGACAAGTGAGCCAGTTTTGTTTTCTTTCAGTCAGCATATTTGAAGTAGGAAAGGGAATGATTTGAAATGGCGAAGTCATCTTTAGATGCCAAAGTTTTGTCTACTGAGATATGAGAGACCACCTTGCGGCTGCTGGGCAGAACTAAAGCAAAATGCAGACGGCTGTGAATTCCCTCTACACAGACTCAGAGCTCAGAGCAGTGTTCCTCGCCTGACGCACCCCGGGCCGTCACCTGGGAGGGCTGAGAGCCACGTCCTCACACCGCACCCCCTGAGAGTCCTGTGCCATTCCTCCAGGTATTTGAAAGCGAGCGCCAGCTGGTTCTATCAGGAGCTAAGATTGGGAAGCCTGGGGCTATGAACGGAAGCTACGGGTGAGGAAGGTAACATCGGAAGAGCAGGCAGCAGACGTACATCTCCTACTCGGTTTGGAACTCAGGGAGAACAGCAAAGCATGGACGGGTGCAATCGGCCCCCAGTTTGTGTGATGTCAGCATTCGTGAAACTTCTGCACTTAGACGTCACCCTGATGATGTTCCTGAACGCCCACTGCCCTTTTAACTGTGAGGCTCACATTAGACCCAGGTCATAAAGACACGTTTGCCATGATTTATCCTTCTCCTCCTCACCCCAGGGAATCGGGAGGGGACTCCATCACAATGATATTCACTTACTTTAATTCCTTGGGATCCATAGCCAGGGGGTCCCGGGGGACCAGGCAAGCCTTTCTGCCCAACGTCACCCTGGTGGAAGATGCGGGGAGACAGAGTAAGAAGAGGGAGGGATCACTGCTCACCCCCCCAGTCTGATAAGCCCTCAGCTGCCCTTAAACTAGCTCATATTCCATTCAAAGCAGTGTTTTTGTAAATATTTTAAGCCACAAAATCACCTGCAAACAAAATCTTATATCTAATCCAAATATAAATAAAGAGGTAAGGCAGCACTGCTGGGCCTAAGCAGGAGGAGACACACAGTGTGTCCTCCACTTGGTTTTCTCCGCTCCGCTCCGCTCCACCACAAAGCCTAGGACAGCAGGGCCTCCCTGCGCCAAGTCTGACAACACCGGCACAGGATCCTACGCAGCCTTTGAGTCTTGCTGCATTTCAAGACAGAGTGGCAACTCACTGGGACCTGGAGCTGCAGAGTCAGTGGTTATTAGTGTGATTCACGTTAGATTTTTTAAGATTTTATCATTTATAAAAGAGATGCACAGAGAGAGAGAAAGAGAAAGACACACACACACAAAGAAAGACAGAGAGAGCTCCCCCTTGTTGGTTCACTCTGCAAATGCCTGCAACAACCAGACAGCCAAAGTGGGGGCCCGGAGCTCAACCCTGGTCTCCCACATGGGTGGCCAGGCCCTGAGTCCTTGCACATCACCACGGCCTCCCAGCATCTGCACTAGCAGGAAGCTTGAAGCAGGGGCTGGAGTACTTCAAGTCCAAGTACTTCAATACAGATGCAGGCATCTCAGCTGAGGGGGCAAATGCCCACTCCAGGTGTCAGAATTTCTTAGGAAATATCTAGATGAAAGCACAAGCTAGCACAGAGGTTCTTAGTCTGTGCTCCTGGGGGACCTCCTGTATCTCGAGGAAAGAGTTCTGTAGTGGAGTAAATTTAGAACACAGTATGAGCTGGCGCCGCGGCTCACTAGGCTAATCCTCCGCCTTGCGGGGCAGCACACCGGGTTCTAGTCCCGGTTGGGGCGCCGGATTCTGTCCCGGTTGCCCCTCTTCCAGGCCAGCTCTCTGCTGTGGCCAGGGAGTGCAGTGGAGGATGGCCCAAGTCCTTGGGCCCTGCACCCCACAGGAGACCAGGATAAGTACCTGGCTCCTGCCATCGGATCAGCGCAGTGTGCCGGCCGCAGTGCGCCAGCTGCGGCAGCCATTGGAGGGTGAACCAACGGCAAAGGAAGACCTTTCTCTCTGTCTCTCTCTCTCACTGTCCACTCTGCCTGTGACAAAAAAAAAAAAAAAAAAAAAAAAAAAAACCACAGTATGTGCCCCCCTCGCACATTCATAGAGACAAGGCTCTAAGAAAGCCCACAATAGAGAAACTGGTTTATTTCTGTATATCCCAGAAGTTCCTAAAATAACGTTGGATAGAAAAACAAACTTTGAGCAATGCTAGGTTAACCTAAGTTACTCTATAAGTTAGCCTGTTTCTTTCCAGTATGAAAAAAAGCACTGGTTTTTTTTTCTAATTGTAAGAAAAAATGCTTGCTCATTGTAAAGGCATTTCAAAAACAGACATGAAAATGACATTGAAGAAAAACAGACCCATCCCATCACCCAGTCCTACTGACTACTGACATCTTGGAGAGAGCTTCATCCAGAGTGAACTCTAAGGCTCAAAAATCATCTACTGCCAAAGTGGAGTTGATGGACCAAAAAGAAAAAAAAAAAAAAAAACAGAAAAACAGATAAACTAAAAACCTTGGTAATTCTGGAATTCTCCGTAAAATCTTTGGCTCATGAAGCCTTTCCCCTCTTCTCTCAGAGGATGGGATTCTAATTCATTTCTGAGCATTCTGGGTATGAATGTACCATTTGAAATTTGAATTTGTGATGGATGGCTCATGGACAACTGTTCTCCCCATGACTGGGCCAGAGAGTTCTTTAACTCTCCTTTTGGATAAATTAAAGAAACTATTGCACAAGTAAGTGAACCATGAGAGCAGGCATCTTAAATAGCACCAGCGACACTTTGACCTGGATAATTCTTTGTTATGGGGGCTGTCCTGCACACTGCAAGATGACTGGCAGGGTCCCCAGGCTCTACCCTCTAGATGCCAGTAGCATCCCCTCTTGTGACAGTCAAAAAGGTCTCAGCGCATTGCCAGGTGTCTCCCCAGGACAGGGAGGGGAGGACAAAAGCTCCCTCAGTGAGAAGCACTGGGTTAAAAGAATACACGGATGAAAAGCATCACCACGCTGGGGCAGACAGAAGGAGCAGACATTGACATGAGGGCACAGGGGCAAAGCAGCTCCTCCTCACCTTCAACAAGGACATGAAATCAGACCCTTGGACTGAGGCCCTGACTGGGTGGTACAGCACCGTGCACACAGGTGCTTCAACTAGGGACTTGGTAAAAGGCACTACAGCCCTTCCGGTCAAAGGGAAGACGTGTCATCTGATGGTGGCACAGCCTCCAGGAAACATTCTGGGTACTCCGCACCCGCTTAACAGAAGCGGTCTTTCTAATTTCTTTGGGGTAAGCAAATGGCTGAATCAACGTAAATGTTCTATTTTACTGAGTGGTCACATGATATGGAAAAATAAGACCCTTCACCAGTAATAATAATACAAGTCAGCACCCAAGTGAACACTTCCTATAAAGCGACTGCTGATCTGGTTGTTCGGGATGCTCTCTCAGACCCTCACAGAGCACAGAACAGTGGACTCACCTTTGGCCCTTGGATTCCTATGCCCCGAGGCCCCGAGGGACCGGGAGGGCCTCTGACCCCGGGCTCTCCCTGAAAAGACACAATGAATGACAATTTACTGATTTTTTTAAAACTTTCTGTTGTGTATTTCACATTCAAACATATTCTCAAAAATATATTTTAAGGTTGAAATCTCTTGAATTTGACTCCGAAATTTATTCTGTGGATGCAGAATTTTTTTATTGCCACTTGTGCCTGTTTCAAAACAACTGGTATGGATCCATTTCAAATCAACTTACCTAATTTCTTGCAACATGAACCTATACATTGTATACATTTTTCAGAACTCCTTTCTCTAGAATTAAGAAGAGTAACTACCACTATTGTGAACAGAGTACAAAAGAAGAGAATTAGAATAACCACTAACAGCTATAACTACATCCTGAACTAGTTGCTTCTATAGTTTTATGCAACATGATGATGCTATTTGAATCAGGGACTGACCCTTGATATTTCTGCCACTAGAGTAGTTGAGCTCAGGGTAAATGCTGTAAGGACTTTTCCATTTCTCCAAAGCATAGCAGTCTCATGGCAGGCACCAGCAACAGAAAAGTGGTGGAACCCAATGCTAAGGATGGCAAGAAGCAAATAAATAAAAACTGAAAAGATGCTAATGATTAAAAACAGACCAGAGGAAGAAGAATCTCTTTGTTAGCCACCTTCTGTATGCCCCAGTCCTTGCATAGCATGTTCATGTAAGTTGTTTGGCATAACTCAGCATTCACAATAATCCTGCAGTGCTACAACGAGGACTAGTTTATCTAACTTCCCTGAACTTCAGCAAAATCATCACAATATGTAAAAAATAGATACACACTTCACAGAGAGAAGAAATGAAGTGGGACAAAGGGAAGGAACACTCCTGTCACATCGCCTGACACTGAGTAGGCACTTGGTAAACAGCAGATCCCCGCCCAGCGTTTTATTACAGAGGAAACTGAAGTTTGCCCAAGCCTGCACAGCTAGTAAGAGGCAGAGCTAAGCGGATGTGGTAAAACAAGAACCTTCATCATGGCTGGGGCAGGCCCTTTGGAAAACAGTTCCATGGTTTCTCTAAAAGTTCAGCATAAATTTGCCACATGATCCAGCAATTTCACTACTAGGCACATATCCAAGGAAAATAAAAACATATGTCAACACAGCATCTTGCAGAGCAATGTCCTTAACAGTGTTATTCATAATAACCCCACATGGGAAATAGTCTAATACCCATCAGCCGGTGAACAGAGAGACAGAATGTGGCACAGTCAGCATTAAGAAGGTAGAAACTACAGATATGTGCCACAACCTGGAGGAACCTCAGAAACAATGAAGGCAGCCAGATGTGTTATGACTCCATTCAGATGAGATGTTCAGACAAGCTGAATCTACACAGAGAAAATCGAGTAGTGACTGCTGGGGCCAGAGACCGGAACACAGATTAACTACAAATGAGCAGGGGGAATCTCACCGGAGGGGTGAAAATAACTGATTTAAAGTAATGGCCATAGAGCTGGACAAATTTACTCAAAAAACATTAAATAGACTATTTGAAATAGGTGACCCCTATAATATAAAAAATATGCCTCAATAAAGTTATACAATAATAAAACAGAGCTGTGTTTCTTTTTTAAGATTGATTTATTTATTTGAAAGACACAATTACAGAAAGAGAGAAAGACAGAAATCTTCCATCCGCCGGTTCACTCCCCAGATGGCTGCTGTGGCCAGGGCTAGACCAGGCTGAAGCCAGGAATTTCATCCGGGTCTCCCACTTGGGTGCAGGGGCCCAAGGACTTGGACCATCTTCTGCTGCTCTCCCTAGGCCATTAGCAGGAAGCTGGATTAGAAGTGGAGCAGCCAGGACTCGAACAGGTACCCATGTGGGGTGCTAGTATTGCAGGTGGTGGCTTAACCCACTGTACCACAACACCAAACCCCAGAGCCAAGTTTTGAATCTACACCTTCCATGATTTTTGGACTTCTAGGTAAAACTACAAAAATGAGTAAAACTTTTAAACTATATTTAATACTGAATGAATTATTTTTAAAAAAAAGATTTATTTATTTATTTGAGAGGCAGAGAGAGAGAGAGAGAGATTCTTCCATCTGCCGGTTCACTCTCCAGATGGCCACAATAGCTGGAGCTGAGCTGATCTGAAGTCAGGAGCCAGAAGCTTCTTCCAGGTCTCCCATGCAGGTGCAATTCTTGGCACCAAGAATTGTTTAATGTTTTATCAACAATTTATAATTGTTTGCTTCACCTGCCTACTCCAAGGCCATCCCAGATATGACAGCTTCATTGCTCGGGTTTCTGTTCACCTCTGCCCTTCCCTGTTGAGGTTGGAAAGGGTGTGGCTGACCACCTTGTGCCTCTCGCTGTGATGCCTGGGGAATGCACAACCCCACCTGAGAATCTTCTGGCCAAGGAAACTGGACCTGGATCTGAACAGATCTCGAGATCTCCCAGTTTACAAAAGTAGATGATGGAGAGGTACATTAAACAGCACTAAGCTATACTATCAAAGTACAGGACCGGCCTTGGGCCTAGCAGTTTAGACACCAGTTAGCACACCCATGCTCCCTATCAGAGCACCTGGGTTGACCTCTGGCTCCAGCTCCTGAGTCCAGCTTCCTGCTAATGCAGACCCTGGAAGGCAGCAGTCATTAGGTTCCTGCCACCCATGTGGGAGACCTGGACTGGCTTCTTGGTTCTCAGCCACTGTGGGCAACTGGGGGTTAACGGTGGATGGGGACACTTTCTTGCTCTCTATCTCCACCTTTCCTATCAAATCAATAAGCCAAAAATAAAAAAGAAATCCTAAAATACAATTACTACATCCACAAAAAAGTACAAGGGAAAAAAAAGAGAGAAGTCACCGCAGTTCAGAAAGATTTCAGAGATATCTCAATCAAATACAACATATGAGCAACATCTGGCTCCCAACCCAAGCAAACCAACTGTAACAAATTTACGACACAAGCTGGAAAATTTGAATGCTGGATATTTGCAATAGTAAGACATTGTTGTTAATATTTTTCAGGTTTGATAATATACCACAATTACGTTTTAAAAGGGTTATTGCATTTGAGACACAAGTATTAAAGTTTTATTTCTGTGATGTCTGAAAATTGCTTCAGAAAAAAGCAGTAAGAGGAGGAATGAGCAATACAGGTAACAAAAGATTTACAAGTTGCTAAAGAATTATAAGTAAATGAGAGCTCATACCACTAGTCTTTCTACTTTTGTATATGCTTAATACTTTTCACAAACTATTTAATAACATTCTTAAAAACAAGGAATAATACATAGCAAAAATCTCACCAATGAATGTGAGGAAGTGCCACTGTAATGTTCACTGATATTAATAATACATGATTTAGGGGCTAGTGCTGTGGCGTAGCAAGTAAAGCCGCCGCTTGCAGTGCCAGCATCCCATATGGGCATCGGTTCAAGTCCCAGCTGCTCCACTTCTGATCCAGCTCTCTGCTATGGCTTGGGAAAGCAGTGGCAGATGGACCAAGTCCTTGGGCTCCTGCACCCATGTGGGAGAACTGGAAGAAGCTCCTGGCTCTTGGCTTTGGATTGGCGCAGCTCTGGCCATTGCGGCCATCCTGGGGAGTGAACCAATGATTGGAAGATTCTCTCTCTGTCTCTCTGCCTCTCCTTCTCTTTGTGTAACTCTGACTTTCAAATAAATAAATAAATCTTTTTTTAAAAAAACCTAATACATAATTTAAAAGGTTTTAAAAATGGGCAAAGAGCACACAGGTGGATTCAACATCATGAGTAGAACTCACATATGCTTCATGTGTTCTTGGTATGCCACAAATGTCATGTAAGTTTTTTAAATTAAGGAAAATAAGGTTTTTTTTTTTAAATAAAGTAGGGTCTCTTTTAAGAAAGAAGATGACACTCTTGTTTAATTCATGATTTTAGTTAAGAAGTTCCTTTTCAACTAGTATTAATCAAATTCACACACACACACACACACACACAATACTTCCCATGTAGGGAGCTATCAGGCACCAAATGAGCTGCAAATACATTGACACACTACCTCCCCACCATCATGGGATCTTTCCAAATGTGTGATTTTTGTTCCACAGGCCATGTGTCCCTGTTAGGCCACTACACCTGGTGATTGTAAGCAACAAGGCAGTGGGAAATCTGGTTTGGCTACCCCACAGCACATCATCAGTAGTTAAAATATGTGTTACCTGCTAAAGCTTACAGTCAGTGGATGGAGTGACATTCACAAATGAAGGACATTAGAACATTTCTCACATGGCTGGACTTAGCTTCCCACATAACATCTTACAGTTGTTGAAACCTGCAGGGGGAGCCCTTGTATCAAGAGCTACGAACCAACCACAGAGTAAATACTACTTCCCATCAATTTCATAAAACCAGAGCCTTAGCCCTACTCTTATCCGCCTCCACCTCCAAAATAAATAACTGTTTCGTGGGTCTACTGCTTCCTCTTGGCCCACAAGTGACTCCAGCTGGCAAATATTCCTTTCATTTTATAGGACATGACCAAGTGCAGGATCGTCTGCAGAGTATGTGAGTGAGCGACTCAGTGAAGGCTTCGCCTAGACCATAACCTTGCCGACCAGCTCGTGATAAACCCTTTAGAAACATCTTATGGTGGTCCTAGTAATCTCACGTTGAAGCTGTCACTTTTTCAACAAAAGAAGAAAGAAAAAGGGCACCCACACTATCACATTTTCTCAGTAGTAAACCGTTGCTTTGGCTAATATTAACAAAATTATGATAAATAATAACTAGCATTTATTAACTCTATTATAGAGCAGGTACACTTCATTTTCTTACCCAGTCCTATCAACATCAGCTCACTCCGTTTTATAGGTAAGGAAACTGAAGATAGAGGACCCTTGACTTGTCAAAACTTGCAGCCTGAAGCAATTCTAACCACACATGATCCAGAATCTGCCTCCCATTTTGATGTTGCCTGGGACTAATGCAAGAGGCAACTTTGTAGACTTCCCGCCAGCTGCCTATTCATGCCCAGACCATGGCTGTGCGG